ACACCTTGTCCCACAGCGTTACGGTGAATCTCACCATTATACCCCACTCCCACAGCATATGCAGTATCAGCACCAGTAAAGATTTGTGAATATTTGCCTCGATGCAAGCAAGGAAATGAGCAACATTCCTGTTTTACAGAGGCACAGATGGTAGTATTTTGCTGAACTCACAGCCTCCCCGAACTGTCCTGCATCTTAAATATAGATGCATCCTTTTCTAACCCTACAAAATACCCAAGCAATAAACTTTAGTGAAAGACACTGTCACACACTGAATATGACTCCATTTCCAAAGCTGTAACCACCTGATTTTCATCATAGCACAGAGCCAAATCTTTTGCCATAGGACTACAGTCTGTCATGAGACCACTTCAACAGCAGTTTAGTAGCATTTCCCAGCAGCTGAGCCCCGCCTGAGCAAAAAGTCCATCTTACCATGGGTTGAGCTGTCAGCCAGGATATGTAGCCATGTAAATGGAAAGGGGAGCTGGTGATGAAAGCTCCCTGCTCTAACTTTTCAGCTGCTTTATTTACTCACTTTAAGGGGAGGGAGGAAAAAAAAAGAATCAAGGAAGTAATGTTCCTCTCCCAAGGTGCACTGCAAAACATTCTTGGTAGACATGGAAACCCCTGGCAGGCTGCCACCGCTTGGCCAGCCTCCACATTAAATTTCAGTGAGCAACTCAACACTTGAATGGCTTTTAGAGAATTTAAAGGGAAACAGCAGCCATGGATGGGTGATGTGGCTGCTGCTCCCCATAGGCAAGAGTTAGGGATGCTCCTGAGTTTGCCTCCAGCTCTGTGGGAAAGCCTGTTGTGCTTTTGGGGTGCACAAAGCAGGCAAGTTATGATGGAGCCAGCTGAAAACAAATGCAGCCTCCAGTCTTCCACAAAGGAGGTTTCATAGCCACAGTCCACAGGGTAAGAGGGCAACCTTCAAATATCAAAAGGGTATCTGCAAAAATGAAGGGAAAAAACATTTCACCATGGTCTAGGGATTAAACTGCAGCCAAAGGTATTTACGAAGGTCTGTTCCTCCCTTCTCCTGGTTTTGCCCCTCTCCTGTCTCCCAAATATCCTCTCCTACCCTAGGGATGGCCTCTCTTGGCTTGTGGTTGGGCTGAAGAGAGGTGGGGATCTGGTGTCGTGTCTCCTTAGAAATCTCCAAACATGTATGAGAGCAGGCAAGCACATGGGCTTGAGAACTCGCTGCTCTGGGGGAAGAGCAAGGAAAGCAGAGAAAGCCTGAAAGTGATTGCTGGAGGGTACTGATGATTCTGGGGGTGGTTGGACAGAGGTGATCCCACACTTGAGCAGGAAAGGAGACACTGCATCTTCCACAAATTGCTTATTCCCTCTCATTCAGGAACATTCATTCTGCATGGCAAAGGGTTATTTCTCTCTAAATGCTGTAAATCTGCACAGTGCTCAGCATCATAGCTTCAAAGTGCTCTGAAGCACATGGAGGAAGGGAAGCAGCATGAACCCAGCAGAATGAGCAGTGTAACAGAGTTGTGGTGTGCACAGAAGTTCAGTTTCAGATTTCCATCAACAGTGTCTGCAAACAGGTTTACAGCACATAAGTGAGCATGAGCACATGTGGGACACACAGCTTCTCTCTGAAGATATCAATACCAACAAAGCCAGAATAAAGCAAGGAGACTTACTTCCTCACTCTCATATGCTTGGTGCATTTCCAGGGAGACCAGACCTCAAGTCCCCCATGGTTCATCCATTTGCCCATCATTCTAGAAGACAGATAGGAAAGAAGCCCCATGGTGGGGGAGAAGATGACTCAGGCAAAAGCTACATCCATTTTCAGTGGTTTGACCCCAGGGATCTTGCTGCCACACTGAGAAAACTCTCCTCTTGCAGTTCAAGACTGTGGCATTCCCCCCAACGGCATTGTCGTGCTTTTTATGTAGAAACACCACTGCCACAGCGATTGGTGAGGTGGCACATTTAGCAAGAGCCACATTTCCCAAGAGGATGCAAAAGTCACAAGCTATAAATAGGAAGTTGACAATTTTAACAGTGCCTGTGGTTTCACTAAGAGGTTGGTGGTCATCCACTAATTGGTAAGTAACGACATGTGCAGTGTGGGCTATGAGTAACCTTATCCGGTAACGGGTCATTGCTCATAGGTCTGTATATAGGAAAAGATCACTACGAAATATCCAGCTTAAGGGATCAAGTTGCCAAATCAGAAGTAGATGTTTGCATATGAAGCGTTTGTGTTCCTTGTCATAAAAAAGGATAAAGAAAAAACCCACAAAGCAAACAAAGAAAAAAAACCCAAACAACAACAAAACCCCCTTAGAAAGCTGAAATAAATAGAAGGCCAACATGAAATCTTATAATTTAAAATCCCATCAGGGGATTCTGCTCTAACCCACTCCAGGAATTTTCAATTCCTCCAAAGAAAAGAAGCTGAAATGAAATCATGAAGTGCTGAAAGATCTGGAGTCTGAAGAAATCTACTACTTTCTTTATCTTTTTTTTTTTTTTTCTTTTTCCCTGAAAACTAAAGGAGGCACTCTGCATCAGTGACCCATATATAGAATAAGAAATATGGAGGCTGGGAAAAAAACAGTCAGGTTTGTTTGTGCTATTACTGCACAGCTCTTGGCACAAATGTATCCCAGCAGCGGTTTGGTGCCATGGCAGGCCTGGTTCATGAGCATACAGACAGGAGAGAGTTCCCCATCAGCTGCAGGAAAATCATAGTCTCACTTGCTCGAAAAAAACTCACAAAAATCCACACCTCTTGAGAACACACAAATAAAAGAATGGGAGCAGTGCTGAACTCCCAGCTTGTGGGGAAGGCACTAATTATAAACTGCACTCTGGAAATAGCAACCCAGAGGCTTAGGGAGCTTAAACTGTGTTTGACCCAGGATACAGCAGGTGTATTTCCACAAGCTTCTCTTAAGCAGACTATTACTGTGCTCAGACAATGTTTTCTAAGAAGCAGCAGTCCTACAAGCAGCAGGACTGGCAGCCCACTTTGCTGTGGATTTATGCCCTGTAGTTGCATTTGCTGGTGTCTGGCAAGATGCAAGCAGAAAACAAAGCTCTTTATGGCTTGGTTGGTCTTAGCATCTCTGCCCAGTATGGATCCCCCGGGTGTTCAGCAAGGATTGTCCACATCCTATACTTATTCCTTCTGTGGGCACTACAACTGATTTAATCCTTTACTCAAAAGCATACTTTTTAATAAGTGAAACACGCAAACTCAGTATCTCCCAGACATTTATCCCTTGGGCAATTTCAGCTGAATTAAAACAACAACAAAGTTTTAGAAGTCCAGAGGAGAGAAGGTAGAGCAGAGGGAGGAGATGGGCAAGCAAAGTATCATGCCCCATTTCCTTAAGAAATCAAGCTGAAAAACATTAAAACCAGCTTGGTGAACCACTGCTTAGGGTCTCAGAGTCACAGACTGGATGTTCATCTGGAAAAGGAGACTAAGCTGCACGACTTCTGAAGCAGATTCGTAATTCCCCGACTCGATGCTGCCACCGTCTGTTGTCTTCTGGTGGGAGTTCATAACACAGCATCCCGCATTCCCTTTCTGCCGCACCTAAAACTTACCCAGATTTTCGGGGCACAGTTTCCAATCATCTCATGAGTGGGAGCACAGCAGCTAACAGTCACACCATGTAAGTCTGCAGCGAGCACAAAAGCGGCAGAGAACCGAACTGCTGCAAAAAGGAGCAACGCGCACCATTCCACCCTCCTTTAACCTTCACAACCTAATCAGTAATGTAAACCTTCAAGCTGCCCTGACCTATTTAAGCTTGTAAAATATTAACTTGCAATAGAGCTATTTTTTCTGAAATTTTGCTTAGGTTTCTCTAAGTGCTACAACACAGTAGCAGAAGATATCATTGCTTGTTTCCTTATCTAAAATCATAGGCTTCTCCAGTAAAGAACATTACAAGAAATTATGAGTATAGAAGAATCATAGAATCCTAGCATACCAGGCCAGAAGGGACCATAAGGATCACCTGGTCCAACCTCTCTAGGTAGAGCAGACCTAGACTAGATGGCCCAGCACCCTGTCCAGCCAAATCTCAAGTATCCAGCACTGAGGAGTCACCATTTCCCTGGGGAGATTATTCCAGTGGTTGGTTGTTCTCACTGTGAAAAATTTTTCTCTTGTGCCCATCACCCCTCACCTTTCCCATGTGACTCCTTGTAAAAAGGGAGTCTCTCTCTTCTTTGTAGCCACCCTTTAAACACTGCAACATGGTGATGAGGTATTCCCTAAACCCTCTTTTCTTCAGGCTGAACTCTCTGCCTTTCCTCATGCAGCTTCTCAGTCCTTGGATCAGCTTTGTGGTCCTTCTGAGGGCCCTCTCCAGCCTGTCCACATCTACCAAAACTGAACACAGTATTTCAGGTTAGACTAGTAGTATTCCAAAGACAATATAGTAAATTTGTTTTACCTAATCATGCTTCTCCTGATCCTCTTTGTCATTCCGTGGCCAAAAGTTTTGTTTGCTTCGTGGTGGAAGGGCAGTCCAGATCAGAGTCCCATACTCCCTCAAACCCCTCAAGCTGTGCTTTCCCTACCCATCTGATTCAGAAAATTTTCTTGAGCCTGTTGAGCAGCACCGAGCCAGAGGTGGTGGCCCTGCAGTTTTAGCTTCTACAACCTCCTATGCATATTGCTCTTCCCAGTTGCCTTCAGCTTCCTTCAACTATCAACCCCAAGTGAAGCTGCAGACTGTAGTGACACATATACACGATCTTTCAGGATTGAAGGATGCTTCTAAAAATCTCAAGATGTCAAGTACTCATCTATAGTAATGCTGGACTCGCTAGCATGGGGCAGCTATGATGCTGATGATGAATCAGCTTGGCTTACAGCCCTTTTTCATTAGGGAAAGGGAATTCTCTTAACAGGCCAGGAGAAAAACAAGAGCAAGAGAGCTGGAATCAGTCGGGCAGCTGCAGGAAAAAGAAAAGAGAGAGGAGAAAAAAACCCAAAGATTTAAAGTGCCAAGTCAGGTTCTTAATGAGTGGATTGCCTTCCTCTGGGGGAGTGGTGAGAGCTCTGAGCACAAGACTTTGCTCCCTGCATCCCCCCCCTCCTTCACAAAGCCCAGCTTGAGGAGCAGCAGAGCGCTGTGTAAGTGACACCCGTCTAATTAATTAATGACTCCTCGGCGTCAGCTCTGTGGCTGCTGGGTTCGAAAGGAAGGCAATAAAGAATGGCCAGGACAGCACGCGACCGCTTCTGGTAAATGCTGAATGCTGCTGAGAGCCGGCTGTGTTATTCATAACCTCCCCTGCTTTGGGCTACAGCACAGAAGTCAGAGATATACTGGGAAGAGAAGATGGCGTGGGATCCACCCTTGCAGCATCCTTTCTTCTGGTTGAGGTGTTCCTCCCTCTTCTTGTCCTGCTCAAGAGCTGCCACGGCACAGCTAATTGAGGTAAGGAGCAACTTTCTTTATAGACTAGGGGTTCGGGGTGTCCAGGAATAGGGTTTTTTTTCCATGCATGTCCAGGGAGGACACGTAGGACAGACAGCAGAGAATTTAAGGTGGCTCCAAGGAGTTAGAGGCTTCTTCAGGGGATGCCTGTTGCTTTCCATAGGCCCAGCACTAGAAAGAAGTTGCTTTTAAAATGGCAATAGCTGCTGCTGAGAATAGTCAGCACTTAAGGGCAGCTTTAAGACGACTTGACACAGTGCAAAGGGCTGAAGTCAACAGCACAGCATTTTCTAGCCCAGTATTAAGTGTTCAACAAGTGCCCCACATGAGAGGTTCAGGGAAAGAAGAGAAGGACCAGATGTGACCCAGGTGATCCTGTCCCTGGATGTACCTACCCAACATTTAGGCTGCATTTTTCTTCTCCTGCATTCTCCTCATTTCCTCTCATTCAGCAAAAAAGTTAACTTTTGTGGTGATGTTCCTCACCCACAGCTCAGTTTCAGAGCTTTCCCCTGAGGATGATGATGTGCTCTCATGCCCCCAGCTTCCTCCACTGAGGCTGGTATGAACCAGTACGGAAGAGCAACTTCACAAGCCAAATCTTACTGTCAGCAGTTTCAGAGGTGAGAATTCTGTCTGCAAGGATAGACCTCCAGAATTACAGCTGCCAAAGCCTGGCAGGCCTGCTGTTTTCAACCTCTTCCTTGCTGTTCCTTAGACTTGAGCCACATTAGAGGCAGCTGCTGTGTTGGTCCATGGACTGAGCCCCAGTGCTGCAGTGACAACGAGCAGCGTGTTCTTTCAGCAGAGCTTGCTTTGCTCAGATTTCTGGGTTTAGCTAAACTGCTCAAAAATGCATCTGTGCAGACACAGCTGTGTTAAGGGCTCTAATGGACTAGCACAAGATTTTTTCCAGTCACCCCTGGCTGCCCTTCTTCTCGCCTGACCTCACACCAGCCAGGTCTGATCTCTGCAGTCTTTGGTCCGTAGATTTTAGCAGTTGATCACCAACACATCAGATGCAATGATAACCTTGCTGAGCTCATGTCCCCACCCAGTCCAACTGTTGCCCCAACTTTCTGCTTGTCTCATTTTAAAGTTAGTTACTTTGGATTTTCAAATGGGTGTAGCAACCCATCCTATCTGTCCACAATATAACATCCCTAAAAAAGCAAACAGGAACCTAAAACTCCTTTACAAAGTCATACCTACTCTACTGTAGACATTCTTCATATTTTTCCAAGCTCTTCAGCCTACAGCAGCTCTCAAGGTGACAAGTGAGGCAGAACTTAGTCTTACAGTGCACATTTCACAAAGCATGCTTCGCTTAACCCAGGGCAACATGCAGACACAGCATCCACCCCACCAGGAAGATGTTCCCTTTCATTATGTTTCACAGACACACACTTTACAGGAATTGTTCTCATGCCAAGAAAAAAAAACAAAAAAAACAAACAAAGACAAATGGTAAAATTACAAAAAATTGTTATAAGCCAGGTGTAATTTACTGGTCTGCTTTACTTATACCAGACTTTCTTGAAAACTTGTCTGCTTCTTTATAGCACATAAGAGGGAGCAAATCTCATCTGGAAACATAAGCTGCATGGCAGGTTAACTATCAAGTATCAAAAAATGAGATTAGATGAACAGTTTCTGTATCTCAAAAAGCAGATGAATTACAGGCTGCTGCTCCAAAGCTCTGCAAGGTGGTTTTATTTCAAATAATTACACAATGTAGTTATCTTGAATAATTCAATTTATGCTAAGCCAGCCCATCAAAGCAGAGAGAAGGTCAAAGGGGCTGGATATTAGAGCCTTTCAATGAGCTCAAAGAAAAATCCAAACAAACAAAAACAATAAACAAAAAAGCCACACAATAAGGAGAAGTAAAAAAACAAGGAGATGCTCTTGTTTAATGGTGTTCAAGTGTTTTCAAATGTGCAGATTCATGTACACTTTCCACTTGGAAGCAAAGAGGCAATAAAAGCCTCTAAATATTGACTCTAATTGCATTGACAAAAAACTTTTCTCTTTCATAGGCCTTTTGGAAGAATTCTTAGTCCCCTGGGTTGAAAGTTAACTGTTCAAGGATTAGCAAGCTACCCCGGCACTGGGTAAATTTGGAAATAGCTCCATGGGATGCCAGGAAGCTTCCTATAAAGTGTATTGCAAAGGGACCTCCTGCGCTTCACCTGGAGCTGTGGACTCTTCTCCAAGAGCCCCTGGCCCAAGTTCCATTGTAGTTTGTACAAGCTTCTGAAGACACACACCCAGTATACCCTACCTAGGCACCCCTATCCTATGCCTCCATATCCTGACCTTTAAAATGCATTCACATGCTCAGACATTAGCAAGTCCTAAACACCTAGAACACTGGGAAAGGTTCTTTTCCAGCATCACACCAATGCTTTGGCACCAAGAGGACTGAAAAATAGAGAGCGCAGCACTCTCCTGTCCCTTTGCACAGGACTACTCAGGCAATGCATTCAGCTCCCATAAAATAATACCCATTACATGAAATGCATATAGCATTGGCCCATTCTCCAGCTTTCCAGCTTCCTCATAATTTTTTCAAGGGCCCCAGCTGGGATAAAGTATGCATTTCAAGAAGCAGGCAGCTTATGCAGGGAAGGAGGGATGAGGTGACAGCACAGTTCATACTACTACTGTTGCTGCTTTTGCCCATCAGACCTTCAACATGCTCAAGGGATGCTCTGGAAACAGAATTAGGACACGTTAGGGATGGAGGAACATCCACATATCCAGCACTTCTAGATCATATAAAGGCCAAAATAAACCTCAGTTTCTTGGATTCAGCCCTCTTTTGGACCAGGGCTGAACATTAGCACCATAATGCTTTATGACTATTTTGTAATCAGCTTAAGGAATAGTCTGCTGTGCAGTGTAACAGGAAAACAAAACTGCTTTGGGACAGCAGAGAGAAATCTTTATGCTTATTTGAGTTATTTTATTGATACTAAGGACTGATAAACCAGTGGAATAGACCACATTTTTCCAGTCATCCCCATATGTTTCATTACTGAGTTCCACATTGGCATAATTATCTCATTCCTACCCTGAGGCTTTTCTCAGCCAATTCTGTCAAATCTTTATTAATCTCTTAGTATTTGCATTGGAGTTTGGAGCTTCCTAATCAGGAGATCAAACTGTCCTAGGAAGTCATACAGAAGAAAATCTTCAGAACCTTTATCAGACCAGAAAAAGGTGCCCTTTCTGTCTATTAAGATAGGAATTAAAGGTGCTTCTGGTTTCATGTCAGTTCTAGCTTGGACTCCTTGGAAAAGCTGCAACACAGACTTGAAAGTAGAAAAGAGAAGAAACCCCAGAACCTAAATTTTTTACTAGTTATGTATAGCTTCAGTGGGGTAAAGGCAGGTCCTGGTGGAGTAGGGTAAGAAGATCACTGCAAGATAAATTGAAGGCCAGTTCAAAGAAAAGGAGGGTTAATTAAAGGTTTTCAGATGTTCTCCAAGATCTTCCACTCTCACATTGCCATATAGACAAATGATATATTTGATACACACAGTGTTAAGTGGAGTTCAGTTTATACTACACTTAGTTGTATATTGATGGGCTCAAGGGACAGTAACCCCCATATGTAGCCTCCAAGTGAATGTGATGGATATGATGCTGTATGCAATGATCTTAGAATACTCATGTGTGATTATAGTTTAAATGAAGGCAGGTAAAATTACCGAGTGGTTATGGTGGACTCCTGAGGTTGATAGCCCATGTGGATGCATAATTTTAGCTTAATAGCTGTCAATAAAAAGAACAAACAAGAAAATAATAGTTCAAGAGGACATATGCAAGCAAAACACATTTGAGAGATGTTAGCTTTAAGAATAGCATCTTTGAGGAAGATACATGTATTTCAGGTAAGATGGATTCAAAATATTACAGAAAATTATAAAAGCCATTTTCTGGAAAAAAAATCTTGTCACTGTCAGAAGAGACAGGCTCAAGAGAGAGGGATGGACTCTATAAAGGGTACAAAGTCATTGGACTATCCCCAACCCAAATCCACATAAATTTAAGGAAAAACTTAGACTTGCTCTCAGAGCATTTGCATTTGTTTGCAGAGAGATTGCATTTAATGTCTCTGCTAATAAATTACCCTAAATGCTACAGCTATGCTAAAGATGCTGCTGTGTCACTGCTGCCATTATCAGATGAAGAGAGGCTGCAGGGTCCAATCTGAAACCATTATTTACAGGACCATGAATTGTCCAGGTACGAAGAAAATGAGGCTCCCACCGGGAACAGGGAGTCTGGAAGTCTGAGTCCACGAAAAGGGTCTGTTTGTCCAGCTCAAGAGCAGCTTTGGCACAAGCAAGCCTCACAACCAGGACAACAGCTATATCTACATTGTAATTTAACACTAACTACTAGATTTACCAGCCATCCAACTTAAATTCAGTCATTTGATCAGTCTTCTTTACTTTTTTTCTAAATCATAGAATAGTTAGGGTTGGAAAGGACCTTAAGATCATCAAGTTCCAACCCCCAAATCCTATTACATATGTAAGTTAAGATATAATGTATATTAGGTATTCCTGACCTGTAAAGCCACAGATGAGTTATCATTACTGTATTTTCAACATTGCATCTGGACTCTGCCAGGGCTTTCCCACCATTGCAGGAGGTGTTGATGGCCTCACGAGATAAGTTTTGCCTGCATGGAGGTCCATTGTCAGATTGTCCATCTCCTTATGGTTACTTGGAAGGAGGAGAAGGGAGCAAGCACACGTGCATTTATTTCAAGATCAGTTCTTCCAAAACATCAGTGGCCTTTAGATATGTGTAATCAAATGTAATTAGGAATAAACATTGTTAGTTTTCAAAGCCCAACCATGTTGCAGGCTATGAAGTCAAGCCTAATTAGAAGGGGCATTTATAAAACAGAAAAATAATAAGGAAAAAGAAAAAAAGGAAAAAAGGCCTTTAAAAACAGTGCCTTTTACTATTTTTCTTCTCTG